TTTTTTAAAAACATTCCTTTCCTTCATTTGAGGCTTGAATTTCATATATATACCTAATATGTCGTACGATATATAACATAACTTGGGTCAGTTTACATTTTTTCTCACATAGATGAATACTCGACATTCCCTGAAAAAATGTTGAAAAAGTTAAAAAAAAATTTAACCTGAAATGCTACCAGATATGGTATGCAGGCTAAATAAGGTAATCAAAACACAGCAATTGTGCTTTTCATAAATTCATGTTTTCAGCCCTGTGTTATGATCCATGGATTGCAATAAATAATGCAAATTCATTTGTCTCTGGCACTTTACTGTAAGCATGTTTTACTGCAACTGGTCTGTAATGCCCATATGCCTTGGTCTGTCACTCTATGCATACACATCAGGAAAGGGATGATTAATGATTATATACTGAAAATGAATTAATGCTTTGAAATCTGCTCCATGGTATTAATCAGACATTTATGATGAGCAATGGTGCCTCTTTCAAAATTGTGAATTTCATGGCCTCTGGTTTAAAACATGAACCAAATTCAGTTGTTGGAAAGTTATTACATGATACTCAGGTGACCTATAAGGGCCGGGATCATCTTGTTTTTTCTAATATTTATTTGCTTATCTAAAAATTTATGATTTCTTGTGGGTATTTCTTGTATACATTAATGTTTATTCATATATACAGGTGGATGAAGACAATATCCTGAAAGACTTTGAGGAAGTAAGTATCAGTTATTATTTCTCTCTCTCTATGTTTGTGGGACTGTGTGTGTGTCCACAGACAAACACACAAACCACAAAGAAAAATGCAGTGATAGAGCTCCACTTCTGCCCCTGCCTGAGGTTGAACTCTAGATATACATGTAGTTAAAGAATGGAAGGGGGAGGGGGAAGAAGAGTCTCAATAGTTTTTGTTATTTGTTATTTTGTTACATTGATAATTACACTTAAAAGTGCTCTATATTATTGGTAAACAAAATGCTTCTTTTTAGTAATAAACAAGAAAAGGATGTTGTTTTTGGTGTAAAAAATACTTTATAATATTTGGATCAACATTCATTATAAGAATTTTTTTTACTGAAAGGGGGTTCATGTAATGATGAAAACTTGTTGTTTGTCAGACTTTGAAATATTGAATTAAGTCAGTTCACAATGCTGAATGATATTTAGACATCTTAAAAATATAGATTACTTTATTTTTGTCCACTGCTTGAACTGAAAGTGGGGAATTTTAATTTTGGTCTGTCTGTTCTTCTGTATGTATTTCTGTCTGTCTGCAACACTTGTTTCAGAGCGATAACAGGAAAAGCTTTTGACCTTTTGCAGTGAAATAATACACAACAACTCCCTAAGGCCTAAGAGAGATCCCTATTTATTTCATGACCGTAGGAAAGAGGGGGTGGTCCCCCCCCCCCCATTTAAATTTGCCACTTGTAGAATACTATAGAGAACATAGCTACTATATGCCTGTGCCCCCTCAATAATAACATCTGATGCCCCGCCTTTTTTTTAGCTCACCTCGACGAAGTCGAGATGAGCTTATGTTATACCCCCGGTGTCGGCGTTAGCATCGGCGTCCCGGTTAAAGTTTTAGGAGCAAGTCTATTCCCAAGTAACTATAAGCCCTACCTGGACCAAACTTGCATGGATGATGCATCTAGGGATGGACACTGTCACACTTGCTTCGGATGCTGGATCTGATCTACATTTTCCAGATGAGTGACCAGGTTAAAGTTTTTGGAGCAGGTTCATTCCCAAGTAACTATAAGCCATACCTGGACCAACTTGCATGGTTGATGTATCTAGGGATGGGCACTACCAGACTTGCTTCAGATGCTGGATCTGACCTACATTTTCCAAATGAGTAACCATGACAATGTGTTTGGAGTAGCTCTATAATTATATAGGCTGTTATGATTTAACTTACATAGATGGTGCATTCCAGACTTGCTTCAGATGTAGGAAATGAAAGTCTGACATTTTCTTGATTTGTGAAAAGCTTAAAGTTTTTGGAACAGGTCAATTCCCAACGAACTATAAGACCTTCTTACACAGAACTTGCATGAATATTGTTTTCAGGATGCACACTAACTATAAAGAAAATATGATGTGAGATTTGCATAACTTTTACTGATAACATTCGTTGAGGTGAGCTTCGTAATCTTTGATTACCTATGTTTTTTGCTCGTCAAGGAATCTTTGGTAGTTGATAGTGCCCCCCCCCCCCCCAAACTAAAATTGCTTTCTATGGGCCTGTATTTTTAGGTCAAAAGGGAAAAAATCAAGTCATAAATTCATTAATTCTCTCTGTTTTAACACTTTTGTTTTCGCATGAAATCTCAAGAAGCCTTTGAGCTTTCTTTTGCAGTGAAATTTTATACCACAAATCCCTATGGACTAAGGAAAACCCCTATTTATTTTAAGGTCAAATTAAGTCAATGCCGTAATTTTATACATTCTGTGTGTGTGTAAAACTTTCATTTCTGGGCGATATCTCAAGAAGCTTTTGCAATGAAATTTATACCATAACTCCCTTTGGCCCTGGCCCTTTTTAAAGTGTCCCCCCCTCTCCCAATCCACTCATGCTCTTCTCTTTAGCTCACCTGAGCTTGAAAGCACAAGTGAGCTTTTCTGATCACATTTTGTCTGTAGTCCGTCTGTCTCTAAACTACTCGCATTTTCGACTTCTTCTCCAGAACCACTGAGCCAGTTTCAACCAACTTGCCACAGAGCATCCTTGGGTTAAGGGGTTCAAGTTTGTTCAAATGAAGGGCCACGCCCCCTTCCAAGGGGACATAATTAAGATTTATTGAAAAATTAATACCATTTTTTAAAAATCCTTTTTTCAAGAATCACATGGCCAGGAAAGTTGAAACTCCTGTGGAAACATCCTCAGGTAGTGAAGATTCAATTTTGTACAAATTATGACCTCCGGTGGTAGGGCGGGGCCACAATGGACGATCAAAGTTTTACATAGAAAATATATAGGAAAAAAATATTTTACATAGAAATATATAGGAAAAAAGTCTTTAAAAATCTTCTTCTCAAGAAAAGCAAAGCCATGATTGGTCATATTTATATGGAAGCATCCTCAGGTAGTGTAGATTTTATCTTATTCAAACCACGATTCCCGGGGGTAGGGTGGGGCCACAATGAGAGATCAAAGTCTTACATAGGAAAATATAAGAATATCTTTTTTTTCTCAAGAACAGAAAAGCTATGTTTAGTCATATTGATATTGAAGCATCCTCAGGTAGTGTAGATTCAAGTTCAAATGATGACCCCTGGCATAGGAAGGAGCCACAATGGGGGATCAAATTTTTACAAAGGAATATATGGGAATTCTTTTTTTAAAATCTTCTCAAGTACAACAAAGCCATTTGTTATATTGACATGGAAGCATCATCAGGTAGTTTAAAATTCAAGCCCCCCCCCCCTCTAATCTTTTCAATACTGGACTGATTTGTGCTTTTGCCTAACCAAATGTCCTTAGGTGAGCGATGTGTCCCATGGGTATCTTGTTTCATTAAGCTGGGACACAGATTATCTGAATTAGCTTGTCTGTTTTGGAATTAGGTACTCTTTTCATTCCTTCCCTCATCATTGTGTTGATAGAAATTAGATTACCAAAATTCCATTTTTACTCAACCATATGAATGCTGTGTAAGCTTGCATGCATGGACATTTATGAGAGCCTTGTGGAGAATGTTTTCTTGTAGTAAAAACTGCTTCAATTGGATTTTATCCTTAATTCTTACAGATGATGCAGAAAAAAAGAGAAAGGCAGTTGGTAAGCATAGTTGTTTAAGTTTTGTATTGCGTATGTGTCTATCAACGTGGAGGGAATTAAAAATGTAAAGTAATTCTTGTTATTAACACAGTTTCCATGCATTTATGCACACAATAAGATACTTTATGATATCATATTTTAGACAGAGAGGAACATGCATACTTGTGAAGGCATGATTTAAATTAATACTAAAGTTCATATAAATAATACTGTAGGTTCCTCACATTACAAGAGTACTCAATTTCATGATTCTGCCATTTAAATTTGTTTCAAATCATGAGAACATAAAATTGTGAGCACCAAAGTTTTGTTATATGTGAACATGTAATTTCATATAGTTTACAGATAGCAGAAAACTAATCAAAATAATCCCAAGATTTTAAGATCTATGAGGGGTACTTGTGGCATTTTTATGTTGATAATAATTCCCCACCATGAAATGGGAATCTACAGTACAAGTTACTAACATGCTACACGAAAGAAGCTTGTGTGAGATATCAAGGTGAATCCCCTTATATGTTTAGAAAATTGAAGAATTTCTGAAATGCTTTTATTGTATTTTGTGTAAATGGCACACAACATTTTACATATGACAGATTTAATCTTTGTATTCTTTGTTTGTCGGAAACTGTTCTTTAAATAAAAACTGTTTAATTCCATTTAGAATTTCTTACATGATATATATATATATATATATATATATATATATATATATATATATATATATATATATATATATATATATATATATAATATCCTTGAACAGCACTGACTCTTGTTTACTAAAAAAATAACTCCCTGCAACACACGTTCTCTACCCCTTTATATATACATTAGGTTGCTCATCAAGAGCAATGCTCTTATCGAGGTCAATTACATAATAAATACATGTATATTGGTCGCTCACAATTTGTACTATCATCCTACTTAACAATTTTACATAAGGCACTAAATGAAATAACTAAAACAAAAAATATTTCAAATATAAAACGATTTTGCAACTATACATGCTGTAGAATTACTGTTCTGGACAAAATTATTTTTATTAGTTTTGTTTATCTAGCTTAAAATGAAATATACATATTTGAAATAAACATGAGTTTATTTTTTCAAGTTTGCAGAGAGCACCTTCATCGACTTCCCGACGAAAGAGGATGTCAGAAAAAATCTGTGTGTTGTTTACGAATGTCATGGATGTCTTGCGATAAATCGACCGTTTAAATATGGTGACACAGTCAAGGTATGTTAATTAGAGGAGGAGTGTATCAAGGAGATACAACTTTGTTAAACACTTAAGAGTAACAAATTTAAAGTAAATTGTATGCAATACATGTAGCTACCATACAAGATGCATGTATTGTAAACATAATTTTTATTTTCATATACATTAAATTAGGTATATGTGCAGGTACTGAAGAACCTAATTTTATGTGTTACTTAAATTGCTCCAAGTATAAATCATATACCCTGTGTGCCAGCATTTCATGTGCTGATTTGAATTAAAATTCAATAACTTGCATGATTTCTTGTACTTTGGTATTTAATTTATATTAAATTAAGCACATGAATAAATACAAGTTATAAACACCTAATTATGTCATTATTATTTCTTAGAGTGTATATAGCTGGATTATACAACAAATGGATCCAGAAATTCTTCCCCCGGTGTTCCATTTAGAGTGCTCATCCCCAACCAGTTGCCAGAACAAAGGATGCCCCCATATATATGAATTGGGCAACAGCTATAAAGTTAAGGTAGAGGAGTTGCCGGATGTCTTATACCTTCGTGAAGGGGTAGGTATTTCATGTACCATCTCTGAAGATGCAAAGAATTGTAATTGCATGGATGTCATAAAGTCAGTCTCTGTATTAAGCAGTTAACTGTAGTTAGAAGTAGATTCATTCAATTAGCTAAATTCACTCCAAAACCACCAAGAATTATTTCTGAGTAGGCAAAAATTTAATGGCATAAAAAAATGAATACTGAAATATGTCGAAAGAAATACATTGAGAAAAAATTATTTTCACCTTTTCAGTGTTTTGCTGTAAATGATACCTTTACTGGTCTTGGGGATGTCCTGATTTAGCCAGTCAGCAGCTTTCAGGAATTTTGTGGCGGCCTTCTTTGCTTTACTTTTTGTAATCATTAGTTTTTTAGTATTGTAACTGGAGTTTTTTTCGGGGGCGGTAATGTGGCCACTCCAATTACACTACATTTATATAATATGAAATACTGAAATACTTTTTGTATTTGTTAGTTTTTTTAGTATTGTAACTGGAGTTTTATCGGGGGTGGTAATGTGGCCGCTCCAATTACACTACATTTATATATATGTAATACTGAAATACTTTTTGTATTCGTGAGTTTTTTTAGTATTGTAACTGGATTTTTTTCGGGGGCGGTAATGTGGCCACTCCAATTACACTACATTTATATATATGTAAAACATTTATATATATGTAATACTGAAATACTTTTTGTATTCGTTAGTTTTTTTAGTATTGTAACTGGAGTTTTATCGGGGGCGGTAATGTGGCCACTCCAATTACACTACATTTATATAATATGAAATACTGAAATACTTTTTGTATTCGTTAGTTTTTTTAGTATTGTAACTGGAGTTTTATCGGGGTGGTAATGTGGCCACTCCAATTACACTACATTTATATATATGTAAAACATTTATATATATGTAATACTGAAATACTTTTTGTATTCGTTAGTTTTTTTAGTATTGTAACTGGAGTTTTATCGGGGGCGGTAATGTGGCCGCTCCAATTACACTACATTTATATATATGTAATACTGAAATACTTTTTGTATTCATTAGTTTTCAGTATTGTAACTGGAGAGCTTTATCGGGGCGGTAATGTGGCTGCTCCAATTACACTACATTTATTTACTAGTATATGTAATACTGAAATACTTTTTGTAATCGTAAGTTTTTTAGTATTGCAACTGGAGTTTTTTTATCGGGGGCGGTAATGTGGCCGCTCCAATTACACTACATTTATATACTAGTATATGTAATACTGAAATACTTTTTGTAATCGTTAGTTTTTTAGCATTGTAACTGGAGAGTATTATTGGAGGTAGTAATGTCACAGCTCCAATTTTATCACAATAAACAATTTGATTCAATAAATTCCTTTATGAACAAACATGACTTTGAAAGTGATGATAATATGACTTGTCCACTTTATTTGGTCTCTTACTCTGCAAGTAAAAGCTGCTTTGTGGTATTAATTTCTGCATCCAGCATCTTTACCATAACATGGTTGCTCCTCATGGTCAAAAGGACTACAGTACAACACTGTTACCTTGAACATGCTTACTGGTTCCATGTACAACAAAATCATGTTTACTTCATTTTCAATCTTGTAAGTGAGATGGCATATGGCAAACTATCATTCTTTACATGAAAACTGTAAAGAATCCCAAAGAGTAGTTTTTTAAGGAGTTTGAAATATTTGCATCACAATTTTTAATTTACTGAGAGAAAGTGTCTGTTAAATTTTTGGGAGCAGGTCCCATATGTATTTTATTACAGGTCTGAACTTCACCAAACTTGCAAGGATTGTGCATCTGGGTATACTTATGCACTAAATATACTTGGATGCTGAATCTCAGATGCTGGATGAAGTAAACGTTTTTGGAATAGGTTAAATTTCTTGGAGCAGACATCCTGTGATGGCCATATCATAGTTAT